AAAAAAAAAAAGAGAGGCAAATATATCCCTATATGACTGAATTTAGAGGGTTTTTCTGTCGAAATATTTTCATAAAGGAATGCATGTTCCTTAAGTAGACCTAATAATATATTTCTTTAGTGTTTTATGAGATCAAAAGTTGTTTTATAAGATGGCCATTAAAGTTTTCGTCACGACGGGTCACTTCCGCTTCAGGTCACGTGACAGCTGAGCTGACGATAGAGGTATACTTGCCTGTAATCCAATAGGGCTTCATGCTAAACCTGTTCATTAAACTCTATTCGAGACAACTATATGCATAGAACCTTAAGTCGATTAAATTCCAAATCATTTCAACGAAATATCGCTGCCTTACACACGACATATTCACTGAAGCGTCGTTTATTCAAGTTGATAATCGTTCAAACCCGCTAGCATCACAGCTAAATGGGATCTCCTCTTGCGCTCAGCCGCTCACCAGGCGTAACCAATCAGAGGCCGCCGCTAGCGTCACATGACCAGAGTGGACGCACTGCTCTGCGCGAGAGAGACTTAGCTCAGCGGTTTGAAATGTTGACGTGTTGAGAGAGATCAACGCTGATCTTCCTCCAGCCGCGATTTTAAAACATACTAATTGTATATATGTGCTGTCCTTGTAGATACAGCTTAAATATATATTCGCAAAGCGTGTCAGAGCGGCTTTATATCAGAAAACACCGGCTTCCCGATATGAGCCAACGGTCCGCCATTTATACCGTGTTTATCGGCTTCAACCGCCGTCTCTGAGGAGAGCTCGGTTAACTTAACGTTACTCTGGTAAATAAGTTCAAACGCTTTAAGAGAATGGATTCACAGCGAAGTCTTACCTCTCCACCAGCTGAGGTAGAAAACACAGCCTTTTTCGTCTTCATCCTGTCCAGACTTCAGGAAGTAAGTGTTTAGTAACTCTAGACTCGGATCACTGCCTTCAACTGTATGATTAATAACGACTTAAACCGCTTGCAATCCATCATTCATACAGTAGATCAGTACTATATCCATGCAGTAGTTGTGTAATCATGACATAGTGCTGTGTTTTGAGCCCTTCTCATCCAGCTCTCATAGCAATCCCAGTGAGTTAAGTCCATTAAGGATCGTATAAAACCCCAAGGCAGCTAAACTGTCTCTTTTAGACGGAGTTGTAAGTGCTTATTGTAGGCTTTAGGTGACTGGGTTTCATCAGAGGTGAAAGTCCAGTAGACGCCTAGTGTTGTGTTTCTGCTGCATGTGGCTGGTGACAAGGGTCAGTGCTTAAATAGACTTGGTTGCTTCAGATTTGTCAATGTAAGTCTTAAAAAGGGCATAAATTGATCCGAAACAGTCACAGATTTGATATCCGGGCCTGCTAATTAAACTGAAAGTTTCAGCTGTCAGGCAGTGAAACCTATAGAAGCTTGTTTCCACCACAGGATAAAGCGGTACATAATAATATAAATACAATACATACAATTCTGTGAGAAATGTGAGCTATAAAGTCAGATTTGTAGAATGTAAAGTCAGATTTATGAGAGATACATTTGCAAATTGTGATATAAAAAGTAATTTTCTTAAAAAAAGGGTATATCTATAATCCATGTTGGAAACAAACAAAAAAAAAAGAGGTAAACTCACAATTATGCATAAAAAAAAAAGTTTAAATACGAACTCGATGTAAATGGGAAATTCATGTAAATGTGAACTTGCAAGAAAAAAAGTCTGAATTCGAAGAATTGCGGAAAAAGTCAGAATGGCGTGATAACTACGGAGTTGTAAGAGAAAAATCAAGAAAATCGCAATGACATTTTTATTCCCTGGTGGAAATGAAATAACAGAATTGCGGAATGTAAGCTCAAAGGAAAAAAGTCTTAATTCTGAGTTTATATCTTGACATTATT